GGCTCCAGGCCTGCAGGAGGGAGGGCCAAGGGCTCCAGGCCTGCAGGAAGGAGCACACCGGCCAGGAGTCTCAGATTTTTTTGATTTTTTTCATTTTTTGAGTAATCAAAAAGCAAAAATTTTTCTTGCTGTAGATTTTTTCTAAAAGCAGAAAAATCAAACAAATCACAAAAATGTTGATTTTGCTTATTTCTCAATAATTTCTGATTATTTTGTTTCTTTTAAAAAATGTAAAAAAAAACAAAAAAATCCTGCGGCTCCCGCGGAAAGGGCCAAGGGCTCCAAGCCTGCAGGAGGGAGGGCCAAGGGCTCCAGGCTTGCAGGAAGGAGCACCCCGGCCAGGAGTCTCAGATTTTTTGTTTGTTTGTATTTTTATATTTTTTGCTTTGTTGAAAATCATTGTTTTTTTGGTTTTTCTCAAAAAAGCAAAAAAATTCAAAACTATAATTTTTGATTTTTTTGATTTTTTCAATAAGTCAATAAAATATAAAAAGCAAAAAATCAAAAACGTCAAAAAATTCTTCGGCTCCCACAGAAAGGGCCAAGGGCTCACAAGGACCGTTACGAAACGTAACATCATATGTAGCGGTCGTATTTTGTTATGAATCTTAGTTGCGGCTAGATGTTGTCGGCTGTGTACGGGCAAACGGGAATGAAGACAACACTATCTATTCCTGTTTTGCGTAAAGTTAAGGGTAATGTAAGCTATAGTCAAAGAGCGTAGTTTGGTTAGATGGGTTGCTTACGTACGAGTAAGCACTATTGTAAATGATGTGTAGTAGGGTTACTTTGTACAGATATGTGACTCGATTTCGTCTGGTATCAAGACATTGAAAAATAGGCTTCGCAGATGGACAGCGTGCACAACAGCTACGTGTAGCCTCGTCGTGCAAACTCGACGGATAGCCGATTGCCATTGTAAAATGAATTATGCCAATCCATTACAGCGGCAGCTGCCGCTGCCACGGACTGGTAGCGCACGAAGCCGACGTACTCATGACCCTGCTCCCACACCTGCGATGAAATTGAAGGATTTTTGTGAGCACGGCGTCCCATGTTTTGAAACACACAGTTCCCTAGCCTCCATGTTTTCCACAGGGCCCTTGCGGGAGAAGTCCGTCTGCAGGCGCTCGACGTTATTGCATAGGGCCTGATCAAGCTGACAGAAAGATCCTTTTACTTTCCAAAAAAACATGCACAGCCTGGCGGTGATCGACTTCGCGGCCGGGAGGGCGTAGGCTCTGGCGGCGTAGTGGGCACCCTGGAACCTTCACGCAGGAGTCATTGCCTGGATCTGTTGCGAGTGAGAACGTCGGCGGCGTGGGGCCTGAAACAAATGGTTAAGAAAAGGAGTTTGAAATCATTTTGAACAAACTGAGGGCCCTGACTCGAAAGACCAGGCAACACGCGGTACTGGTGGGGACCTTATGTTTTTCTCATCAATAGAAATGAACAAATCTCTCGAGTATCAACAGTCATGTTTAAGGTGAATGCCAACCCATTTCTGGTTGTCCGCGTAGCCGGTATTCACCGACCCACCATGGGCTAGTTGGACGAAGCCATCTAGACGCACCGCGAAGACTTTCATCGTCAAGACCTCGCTCAATACAGTGGGGGGGATTATGATCAGTTGGTGCCTGGAATCATTTCGGTCAAATAAGCACGAGACTTGGCCCTGGCTATTCGTGTGCCCCACCATCTGTCCCAACAGAGACCCGAAGTTGGCCATGGCTGACCACGAAGGCGTAAGCGCAGCGTCGAAAACTCGTGCTCACAAAACTGCGGCAATTCCACGGCTGACAACAACATGTTGCGAGCATCGCACTGTATCCACATGTGCTACTGATTAAGCCTTGCCGACAAATGGCGTTACTTCGAATACGCCGAAACTTTCTGCAAAAATTCGGCGACAGTTTCGGAATTCGCCCGAAGGCAAACGGTGGTGATTGGATAGCTCATCTTTTCCTGCTTTAGTCTAGTGGCAGCGCCGTTACACAAATCCAACTGTAGAGTTGTGACGCATGTCGGTGGCGAAATAATTGCATACAGTAGCAAACCCGTTGTTTAAGCTACTGGCGGAGCCGTTACACGTTACACCTGCTGCTTAGTGGCGGAGCCGTTACACATCTCTATTTCTCATGGCAAGAGCCGTTCCACAAGCTACTGGCGGAGCCGTTACAATTT